GCAATTATTTTAGATATTTTTTATCATACATATTTTAAAGATTTATTTTATTATTATTATTTTTTTCATTGAAAAGGCAGATATGCAGAGAGAAGGAGAGACAGAGAAAGATCTGTTTGCTGGTTCACTCCCCAAGTGGCCGCAATGGTTAGGGCTGAGCTATGAAGCCAGGAGCCAGGAGCTTGTTTCAGATCTCTCACACAAGTGCAGGGTCCCAATGTTTTGGGCTATCCTCTCCTGCTTTCCCAGGGCACAAGCAGGGAGCTGGATGGGAAGTGGAGCAGCTGGGACACACAACGATGCCCACATGGGATCCCAGTGTGTGCAAGGTGAGGATTTAGACATTAGGTTATTACATCAGGCCTGATAGTTAGCATTTTAGTGGATTTTAGTTTTTTCCTGATTTGCAGTGGGGAGGGCATGGGCAGAGGACGAGGCTGATTTTTCCCATCCATTGGTTTATTCTTCAAATGCCCACATTTGCCAGGGCTAAGCCAGCCTACGCCAGGAGCCAGGATTGCGTTTGTGTCTCCCATGTGGATGGTCAGAAGTCGAGGACTTGAGCCCTCATCTGCTGCCTGCCAAGGGCTGCACTGGGAACAGAGGCAGGGCTGGATTCTAGACACTCAGGTGTCCTGAGCAGTGACTTAACATCACTCAAGTCTACTTAACTTTTGATGAACACATACATTTACATATTTTACATAAACATCAAGGCATATATTGCTGTCTAAGTAGCACTGACCATATGTGGCTATTTCAATTCAAATGGACTCAACTGAAGATCAGTTCCACAGCCCATCTAGTCACATTGCAGGTGCTTGGCAGCCAAGTATGCCTGTTGTCTAGTGGGTAGGCCAGTGTGCTCTTAGAAAAAACACCCACCACATCAAGAAGTTCCTATATTCCTCTTTCCAGGCAATTTCGACCCCTCTCCATGGGCTCAGATCATTGATCAAGTTGTGTGGCCACAAGTTAGATTCCTGACTTCCAGAGCTGCACATCCATGCTCTCTGTTGTTGTTGTTGGCCTGGTTTTTACTCAGGATGGTTTGTGAGTTCCATGCTGGTCCATGTATGATTATGGCACTTTTTATTGCTATGTAATATGCCGTTGGGTGAATGTACTTGTCCAGCCACCTGTTGGCATCATGTTGTTTAAAGTTGGTAAGATGGTGAACGTAGCACTTACCCCTTTGTGTCATGGACACATGTTTTGATTTTGCTTGGATAAATAATTAAGATTGGAATTGCTGGGTTATTTGGAAAGGTTGCATTTAACTTTACAAGGATTACCCAAATCCTTTTTTGTTGTTGTTGTTGTTGTTTTAAGATTGATTTATTTTGATTGGAAAGGCAGATACACAGACAGAAGGAGAGACAGAGAGGAAGAACCTCCATCTACTGGTTCACCCTGCAAGTGGCCCCAACGGCCAGTGCTGAGCTGATTCAAAGCCAGGAGCTTGTTCTGGGTCTTGTACGTGGGTGCAGGATTCCAAGGCTTTGGGTCGTCCTCAACTGCTTTCGTAGGCCACAAGCAAAGAGCTGGATGGGAAGTGGAACAGCAGGGACACGAACCAGTGCCCGACCGGGATCTTGGCACAGGTAAGGTGAAGACATTCACCATTAGGCTACCATGCTGGGCCCTCCCAAAACTTTCAGAAATGGTTGTGCCAGCTTACGTTCCAACCAATAGTGGAGGGAACGTTTATGGTCCCCAGTGATTCCTGATCTCATTTGTTCACTTGTCTGCTTGTTATTCAGAGACAGGGGTTGTCATTGTCACTGAGCGTTACAGATTTTCTGTTCTTTGCCGTGTGCTGTGCATTTTATGATTGGCTGCAAGCACATTTGTAGGTGCTTCATCTTCCTTGTGAGTTGATCACGTGATACCTCTTTTTGCCCTTTGAATTCTAGTTTGTTAATGATATAGCTATTCTAGTTTTTTCCATATTATTATTATTACTACTATTATTTTATGATACAGTTCCTTAGGGATTTTACTTACTCCCCATCCCTAAGTCCCTTCCTCCCCCCACAGAGTTTATTCCTGCTTTGGGAGTGAATCAGCAGAAGAAAGATCTTTCTCTTTGTCTCTCCTCTCTGTATATCTGACTTTACAATAAAATAAATAAATATTTTTTAAAAAGATGGCAATGTCAGTATTATTTTCCCTGTGGGACCAGTCAAATGCACTGAGCTGAAAGTGAGTTTGCTCCCAGCTCAGTGCATACCCAGCTCATTGTTGTCCCTGCAGTATTAAAGCCTTTGCCACACTCCACAAAATGGTGTCCGGTGTGCCACTCATAGAGTTCTCGATCTGCTGGCCATCAGTTCTGAGGGCTGCCGGGATCTATTTTGGGTGGAACCTGCAGGATGCCATGTTGTTGCAGTTCACTGAGCCAGATATGAGTTCCTTCTAGCTCAGTGCATGTGCAGTCCTGTCCCATAGCCTTTGCCTTCCTACACAAAATGGGGCCTGATTCGGATCTAGGGTGGGAACTGGGCTCTGAAATCTACCCTCTTCCTGCACTGCCTGTGTCTGCTCCTCGTCAAATCAAACAAACCAGCAGGAAGGGCAGTTTTTTGGGTTCACTTCCTGAGCTGATGGTGAACTCCCCTTCCTTCCTGGTTGCTGCTCACTGAGTGTTGCTGGGGTGTCTGGTCTTTGCAGCAGCACAGCGTTGTCTCCACTGCTTTCCTGTCATCCGTCTCCAGGTGTCCCTCTGCCGTCAGTCTGTCCTCTCCTCTTTCCTGGAATGGCCCTCTCTGCTTCAACCTGGCTAATGTTTCTCTGTCTGTTTTGCTGTTCTAGCTTTTTATTATCGTTATTGTTATTATTATTAGTTACTTCAAAGGGAAATCTACAGAAAGAAGGAGAGGTAAAGAGAGAGAAAAATTTTCCATCCAGTGATTCACTCCTGTGCTGATCCAAAGCCAGGAGTTCAGAGCCTTCTTGGGTGTTGCGTGTTGGTGTGGAGTCCCAAGGCGGTGGGCCGGCCCCCATTGCTTTCCTGGGCCACCAGCAGGGAAGCGGATGGGGAGTGAAGCAGCTGGGACGTAATGCTGGCACTTGAAGTAGAGGACGAGCCTGTTGAGCTACACCACTGGCCTGTAGCTTTTAAGTAGGAGGTATGTGACACATTTCTGTCTATCCCCTTGTGTTTTCATTTGAGGTGTGTTTTGAGAGCAGCGTGCAGCTTACTCTTGCTTTACAAATCCAGTATGAGAATCTCTAACTTTAAGTGGGAGTGTCTGCATCATTTCCTTTAAACATTTACGAAGATAGAGGAAAAAGCACACGTGTTTATACACATAATTACACAAGTTTTGACATGCAGATACCTGTGAAACCATCACCACAACCAAGCGGGCATTTGGAACATTCTCAAGCTTTTCTGAGGTTCTTTAGGATTCCTTCCCCCCTACTACTCACTTCTCCGGGCAACCACAGCTAGGTTTATTGTCACCATAGGTTCATTTGCGTTTTCTTGGATTTTGATTAAATGGGAAATGGTACATGTACACTTTTTAAAAATCATTTTTATATCATGTTTTTACTCTCCATTCTTTGTTTCATTTAAAGTTCCTATGTAATATTCCATTGTACAAGTATACAAATAATTTCATTTATGAACAAAGATAAGTATTGTTTCTAGATTTTGCTATTGCACACCGAGCTGTCCTAAGTCTTCTTACGTAAGTCTATGAACCAAAGCTCTTCGTTCCGAGGAAACACCTAGGAAAGGAGTTGTTGAGTCATGTAGACACAGATTTAGTTTTTAGCTAATCCGTGTTCCAAGATTTTGAACATTGGACAGTCTCACCCACGTGTAACAATTTTATTTCCTCTCCTTTCTTTCCAACCTTGCGAATGGCTCATCTTTCTACTTTTGTGGTTCTCTTGCTGTGCTTTTTAGTTCATTCACTTTTTGTCCATTTGTGTCTTCTTATGAGGATTCTGATGACACATTTTGCGAATTTAAAGAAAAATGAGTTGTCTCCTCATTCTTGTATCACTCCGTGGCTATGGTACAGGTATGTACCATATGTATGTATGTATGTATGTATGTGGTACAGATTTTTTGTTGTTGTTCTGTGAGTGACTGCTTTGTGAATTGTTTCACAGGAGTAAAAATTACTAATTTTGATGAATTTCAATTAATATTTTTTATGAGTTTTTGCGTTCTACTTATATAACTTTTGTCTAAAATCACAAATGTTTTGCCCTGCATTTTCTTCTAGAAATTGTAGAGCTTACAAGTGCTCTCATTTAGGTTATGATCCATTTGAGTAAATTTTTGCGTTCATCCTTTTTTTCACACTGAAAGATCCACTTGTTCTAGCACCACTGTTTAAAATACTAGATGATGTCCCCTTAAAATATATTGACATTTTTATTTTTTAAAAATCTGTGATTGCTTATTTATAAGGGAAAAGTGATACAAGGTGTATGCAAATACTTTGTGAACTTGCTGGGATAGTTGGAATGAAAGACTAAGTGAAGCATGGAGATAATAATTTGCCTGCCTTCAGATCTTATTTTCAGTGAATGTAGTTGCTTTGACTCATTGGTTTATGTTTATCCCAGAATGATTAAAGAAGTTTCATTTGACTTAAAGCTGTATGTATAACAGCAATCACATCCATTATGTTCCTCCCCCTTCCCAACCCCAAAGGCTTAAGTGCAATACTTACGGTAACTTTGAAATAAATATTATGCCACTAAAACTTGCAGATTTGAAAACTTGGGACTTAATGGGTTAGGAAAGGAGAAGTGGTTTTAGGGTGAAAAGCCTTGTTCCAGATACCTGAATTTTGTAACATGCACAGATTCCAGGATTTTCTTCAAATGCAAATACATGCTGACGTGATGTGTGTATGAACAAATACCATTCAATTTTCCTTAAATTGAATAATAACCCTCATCTAACTTTTTATCAAAAAAGTTAACATTAAATTGTGGCAATGAGACAAAAGTGGAAAAGAAAACCCAGTGGCTATGAAAACAAACATCTAAAATTTAATGACTTACAAATGGGTTCAAGATACAAAACGGCAGAGAGAAATACAGATTGGATGTTTTGGTTTTTAAAATGTCGACTGTCACCACGTTGTTTTGAGCAAGTCTGTCATTGCCTAAGAAATGCACATAGCAACAAAGACATCTCCAAGGACACACGTTTTAAGATCAAGTGTTGATTTTCAGCCACTCTTGAGCTGTGCACACACTCGCTGGCCACGGCACCACGGAACTTCTTATATTCTTTTCAAAGAGGAGAACCTTGAGAATTACAAGAGCAGTGGTTTTGAAAAACACCTTCTGGGACAATTTTCATTTAAAAAAATAATATTGAGACCATGCATGCTTCTTTTTTTTTCCTTTTTCATGATTTGTTTGTCTAGAATGAACAAAGTTAAGTCAGTCAAGGAGCATACTAGAAATACAAACATGTTTCCAAATAGTCTGGCATAATAAGAGTTAAATAAGAATTAGGCTGGACGATGATAGCTAATATGCTTCTTGATCATGAGTCCATTGACCCATGGGTTGGGAACTAGTTTGTTCATGATCAATCTGGTAGCTTTGAGGCAGCTGTGCAGTACCAGCAGGTGTAAAGTGGCACATGAGGGGGTGATCTGATGAGATGTGAGGTGGTACTGGGACTCACACACAAGATTATAAAGGACACAAGGACCCTGTACAGTTTCCGAGTGTCAGATCTGCATATGTGACTTCAAAATTTTAATTTTTTATTTATTTGAAAGTCATGAACAAAGAGAAGTCTTCCATCTACCAGTGGTTTACTCCCCAGTCGCTCCCAACAACTGGTGCTGGGACCAATCAGGGTCTTCCAAGTGGATGGCAGGGACCCAATTATTAGAGCCATCGGCTGCTGCTTCTTTGGGTGTGCATTCAGGAAGCTGGAGCTGGAAGTGGCACTTTGACACAGGATGTGAGCATCCGAAGCAGAGTCCTCCCCACTGCCCCATTGCACCCGACACTCCACCCTGAATGGATGACATTGTAGGAGGGTGCAGGATCAAGTGATGAGAGAAGAGTATGGGTTGGTTGTGCTGAAGTTCAGGGAGCCCAGATTGGGCTGTTTCCTTCAGACAGTGGGGATTACAGCACCTGCACCAAGGGTTAACTGTCAGGAAGGCCTTTACTTCTAACTGGCAGATGGAACCAAGCTCCCACCCAACACCTCCCCTGCCCTCTTTTTGTGGGCTGATGTGTCTTTATGAAATGCTGCAGCAAATAACACAGTTTTTTTACGACTCTTAAAAACCTCCTTTGGAAAACCTTATGGCTGAATAACTCACAAGATCAAATAGCCGCAGGGCCACGAGTGTTCCTTTGTCACTGTTCCTTTCTGTGTCACAACAACCCAGCCCCAAATGCAGTCAGGGCCTCCGAGGGACGGTGCAGGAATTCCTCTCTGCAGCCCCTGAAAGATTGGAGTTTGGACTAACACATCCTTTCTGAATCAGTGCTCCAAGAGGGCTTTGGTTTCATGTTTCTTTGGGCGTGTGTGTGTGTGATATTGTGTTCAGGGCCGTCTGTGTGGGGAAAGGGAAGAAAGGGTAAGCTACAGAAGCCTCATTCTGTGTTAAGCAAACCATACCGTGCTTCCCAGAGGTGTGAGTGCCATGCCCAGGCGATGCCAAGTGTGCAGACAGCAGTATTCTAACCAGCCAGTATACGTTTTCAATCAAAAAAAATGCAAAGTGCAGCATTAGGAGGTGCTTACAAAGGTGCTTCTGAATTCATTTTTTTGGAAAAATGGAATGTATCAGATATACATCTACAGACATGTATGTACATGCTTACACAGGCACGGGGACAGGTTTCTGTACAGCTTCCGTCCGGCACACTTCCATAGACACCCAAGAACCACACAGGGGAAAACAAGAACACGAGATTTTCTTCTCCAGCTCCCTGAAATTCTAAAAGGTTGTCTAACCCTTGAAACGTTAAAATATTTCATTTTCATATAAAATATCTACAAAAATAGATAACATTTACAAAAAAAAAAAAAACCAAAAAACCAGACAGCATTTCCAGTTTTCCTTAGCCACCCTTCCCTCCGTCCCTACGTCCCCGTTTTCTTCTCAGAAGGTCGCCATCTCCAGCAGAGAGCGCTTGAATAGTTGAGCGTTTCTCGATAGGTCTGTGACCTGGTGGACCATCTCCTGCAGGGCCGTGGTGCTAGGGTAGTGCAGGGCGGCCATCTTGGTCGCCATGACTATCGTCTTGAGCTGTTCACAGAGCTGGTTACTGGCGTTCATCACTCTGTTACGAATGTCCTGGGCAGCCACCTGCCTCGTCAGCGTGTCCCCGATGAACACCAGTTTGTGTGCGCTGAGGATGACAAACTTGCTGTGCGCCACGAAGATCCTCGGGGGCTGGGCCGAGCTGACGCAGCTGAAGAGCGCATCAATGGCGTTGAGAAGGGAAATGAAATGGGTCTCACATTGGTCGTAGTAGAAGCAAAGCAGCTGCCTGTCCTGCGCGCCCACACCGCTGTTTGTGGCTGGCAGACTCTGAGAGCACTTCCACTTGGAGATGTCGTTCTCCACGGGTTTTGTAATTTCCTCTTCCAGCAGCTGGAACTGACTCAGCTGAAAGGGAGAGACAAAAGTACATTTTGTGAAGGGCGAGGCAGTGTGCCATCATGGACACGAACCTGCAGATGGAGGTTAGAGACAGGGATTTTCATTCTTGGTGTTTCTTAGCTGTGAGGTCATGGCCGAGTCCGGGCTGTTGGGAAAGATGATCCCTAAAGAATCCTTTCGGTTTCTTCTGTCTGCCTGCAAGGCGGCAAAAAGCTTAAACCCAAGCCCCAGTACCTGCGCTTTTATGAAGGTTAAATGAGTTAGTGTTTAAACAGTGTTTGCAACAGTGTTTGGGATACCGCGGGCTCTATGTAAATGTTTATTAATTGTTCAGTTGTGGCTAGGGAAAACCAAATGTATGCTCTTCCTGTCAAATCGCCAAGTGTGTGCCTTCCTTAGGAACACCTTGACTAGCTCGTTTCAAAGCACTTAGTTAAAATAAGCGATGCACGATCCTTCCCATTTCTCCTGTAATATCGAGACTTACTGATGTAGCCTAGCAGCACAGGAACCCTTCACGCACACATACGCGTGCTTGTGGTCAAGAACGGCTTTAAGGAAATCTGAACTAAGTAATGCTTAGCCTCTTGCGTGATCAGACTCAGAGTGTTGGTTCTGCTTTCTCTTTCCCCAGCTGGCATATTATTTACATTGTGATTTTAATAACTTCTAGCTAACCTAAGACTGAAGACTCGGGAGGGACCACTGTTTGCCAGTGGGGACATCTGTGTGAGAGGACTTGCATCTCCCAGTCCAAGGCACGGTAGAGTTAAAGCAGGGAGAACTTGACTCAGTTTATCCTCTGAGGAATGTACACACAGCCAGCTTGATTCTCCTCTGGAGTCTGGCTTCCTCTTTGGAATCACCGCAGATTGGAGAAGTTCCCCAAAGCCCTGCAGTCTAACGTGGCCAAACACCGAGGCAAAACACAGCCAGGTACAGGGTGATATTCCAGGGTATTTAACAATAATGAAATATGTTTTCTAGGATTGGTGTCTTTGAAAATATCTTCATCCATGTATCATCTGATTAGATTGGGGGGGGGGAGACTTTGCCATTTTGTAGAGCAGTAACTGCACTTCAGGGACCTTACATGACTTGCCTAAGCTCACGTCACTTGTTTGATCAGAAAGCAATGCGTAGAACTCAGGTTTCCTGAAGACAGCACGCCATTGCATCTCACTGCATGCCATTTTGCCTTCAAATGCTTACAAATCCTCAGTTTTTAACTTTTATGCTCTTGACCTAGCAACATACAATATAATCTACCCCACTTGTATGACCAGCTGCTGGATGAATGTGGCCTGCCCGGACAGAGTCTAACAGCATTGTAACCGCTCCTCCTCCTATCATTGGATCAGACCTAGAGCAGCCAAGTCACAGGGAAGTATGGACAAGACAGATGGAGAGATTGGGGTTGGAGGAGAAGGGGAGGGATAGAACCCACGTTAGATTCTTTTCCTCTAGGAATCTGTTGAATCACAGAAGGTGGTTGGCCATCAGCAGCAGGAGCTGAGATGAAAAGCCACGTGCACATGCAGAAAATGTTCTGCTTGGCCACTCATGGATGCTACAAAACTATGAGCTACATAAGTTAGCTCACAGAGGAAATGTTATTGAATAGGGCAGAGGGAAGCGGGTTGCCAGAGAGAAGCAAAGGCGGCACAAGAAAGGGAGAAAAAACACACATCCAGTTCTTATCAGGTTTGGCTGAATTCAATTTCTGTTCTTGAATTCCCTGCTGTGGCTTTACCATAAAACCTATTTCCTTTGGCTAACTTAAGCAGGTTTCATTTTTGGAGACCAACAGCCTCAACCCAAGTAATCCTCCACGAAGCAGATAGCCAGATTTAGCCTGAAAGAACCTGCCATTTGGATGTAATCCAGGTACACCCAACTGGATTAGCAGAGCTGTAAACCCTTTGCTTTGTTCTTGCACCCTATTATATGCCTCAGAGCCCGTTTATGACAGTGTGCTACGAGGATCAAAATTGTCTTTTGAAGTTGTACCTTTCCCCTCTCAGCAGGAAATCTTTTCAACACCGAGGAATTGCTGTTGATTGAACGTACCTGATGGTGTTCCAACTGCATCTTGTTCTGTTTGATGATGTTCTCTTTCTCCAGGAGCTCCTTCTGTTGCCTCTCAAACTCCTCCTTTCCCTGTGATTTTTCAACATAAAGAGCATACAGTGTCATCATTTCAACCTGCAAAAACACCCAAACGCTCTTTGGCTGTCCACTGCCTTGGCCACTTGCTGCGTGTCCAGCTAGTAGGCCTCATGAGCAGAGGATAGGGCTGCCATCTTGGCCATCCCTCCATGACCACCATGTAGGTCACGGCTCAGTGCTGAGACCCGCTTCCATACAGGGCACCCCATTGTCTGCTGTGACTTTCCAGCTTTGGTGAAATTGATGGTACCATTCCAGTTTCCTTAAGAAATAATGTCTTCTTTCTCATAGATTTGTGTGAACCCATAAACTTGCAAATGCAGGTCTCACTGTGGTCCATACTTCATTTCTAGTGTCGGATTCATCTCTAGATCTCTAGTCCGAGTTAACTGTACTTGTGAGCTGAACGCCAACTGCCCTCATCTCCCTTCTCCCCGCATCCTTCCACATCAAGTGTGGCTTCATCCTTCCTTGCCCTCTCACACTCACGGGCATGTGGTGGCTTGCCGGTTCTCAGTACAACCTTTGGCCATTGGCCTAACTAAGCATGCAGCGTGGGATGGTAGACCGAATTTTAAGTAACGGATCTCAGTAGGGAGTTTTAATGCCTTGTGTGGAAGAGTGGGTTGTCAGAATCCTAGATCAGCTTGGAACTGGGTGAAATTTCCTTTTGTAGAAGGTAAACTGCAACCATGCAGATTCTCACAGTTAAGTTCCAAACCAACTGGCAAATATCCAGTGGTTCTTTAGGTAAGACTAAGAAAGGATTCTAATCAATGTCTCTCACACACTGTGAAATTAAGCGGAACTTAGAAACTTGGTAGTACAGCAAATTTGCCCTTCCTTTTTTCCTTCCTTCCCAATTTTTTTGACAGTGAACATTACTGCAAGTTACTAACAAGCTGGAATTGGTGTGATTATTGGAGGCCCCACCATGCAGTTTGGTGAGTCCGTTCCCATTTGCACATAAATGGAGTCCAATCCACCTCTGCAAATGAAGGAAAGACCCTGGGGAGGTGGAAAGAAGTTGGCCACACAATCCTAGAAGACAGTGTTTTTTCTGCTGTACCATATTACACCCATCCTGTGACCTCCTCGGGTTCACACTGGGTCACTCTCTCCCCTTTGTCGGTCCCGGGTAACAGCCTCCCAGATGTTAGTGCTAATCTCCCCAGACGTGACTGCTGTGATGTGTGGGTGCGTATGGGGGGCGGCGGGCACCTTACCTGCAGGTGGACGTAATCATAGTCGTCCATCCAGCTCCTCTCGGAGCCGTCACTGCTGCTGCAGTCGGGGCCCTGGTCATTGCCCATGCTGGGGGGCAGCGGTTTACTGTGGGTCTGGGCCTTGGGCTCACCAGATGGCAGCGACTGCAGGTGGGTGCCACCGCGAGGATACTCAGTTGAGTTTGTGATGCCCTCAGGCCCATTCTTCAGCTGTGAGCTGCTGGGGCCCAGTCTGAAGAGCACCTCTGCGTTGGCATGGATGGTCGTGGTGAGCTGCTTCGTGTCATCAGGCACCGTCTTGGCCACCATCACAAACCGGTCCAGGTCATCACACTTGTTTTGGGGCTTGTTGATGGCCAGGATGTTCAGGGACCAGCTGCACTGGTTTAAGTCCTGGCTGGTTTGGCTTAGGATCTGGTGGGAGTCTTCTACTCTTTGGAGCTCCCGCTTCATTTTGTTATGGAGGATGAGTTCCGGGAGGCAGGAGGCGTTGGCCGCAGCTCCCTTGGCAAAATGGAGGTACTCCTTGAGGAACAGCCCCACCCTGTCCACTGCCGCACGGATCTCATTGATGTGCCTCTCCATGTAGCTGTAGCACCTCCAGTCCGTGGTCACCAGTGCCATCAGGCCAGCCACGCCTGCCTCCAGGACCTGCTGAAGCCGGTGAAGCCTGTCAATTGCTGTGTCCGGATCCAGGAAGAGCCTTTCATCTTGAGCAGGGGAGGCAGACAATGAGGACTCCTTTGAGGAGGTGGAAGATGTGGACATGTTACTCCTGGTGCTGCCTGTGCTGGAGAAAGACAGTCGGTTGATGCCATCCACCAGGTCCCGAGAGCCTTTGGCATCCAGGGCATTGTGCAGTGGGACATCATACACACCCTCTCTCTCTTCAGGATTTGCTTTCTCGACAGTTTCTGCTGGGGGCTCAAGGAACTGAACCCCTCGGGGGACATCGTAGGCGTCATTCTGAGGGACTGGGGTTCCTAGCTGTGGGTGGTGCCTGTGCACTGCGGGCTCCGCAGCCCCGGGAACATCAGAGCTATACTTCATGTGGAGGTCCTTGCCCGCTGGCTTGGCACCTGTCGGCGGGATGTCATAAACACCTTCAGGCCTGGTCTCTGGCCGTCCAGCCTGTCTCATAGGAGGTGGGAAGTCATACTCTTTGTCCTTGAACCCAGCCTCCTCTTGGCAGGCAGAGGGTGGAACGGCATAGACCTAAAAAAGCAAGTATTTGTTTAGTTGGCTCCTGGGGACACGGACACGCAGCCCATGATAATCAGGTCTGGTTACGGCCCCTCGGCTTTGCCCCTCACCCACTAAGCAGAAGAATTTTCCAGGCTCAGCACTGCTCCTGACACCCCATTCTTTCACAGTTTGTCTTCATCCCCTGGTCTCAGGGTTGACTGTCCTGTAGATCCTTCCTAGGTAAGTGGCTTCTGGCCCCTTCCTGGGTGTCCTTCCTGGCTGTGCCATGCTGGCGTGAGCAGTGGGAGACCCAAGGGTCCTCACCTAGGTGTCTTAGACACAGTCCCTGAGACTGTAAGATGAGGGAAATTGCATTTGCTGAGCAGCAACACTCGAGGGTAACAGTGGCCCAGATGAGCGAGCGCTTACATACGTTCTGCAGAAGTTATAGAATGTTCTTTCTGGGAAATGCACAAGCACCTGATAAACCCAGTCCATCACCGTCCCTTCCAATCCACTCGGCGTATTCCGCGTTGCTTTGAAGTGGGCCCCATTGGCTGATTCTGCAGCGTTATCGCTACTGTTGCGCTTTCCCGTCTGCTGCCTCCCGTCTGCTCCCTCTCTGTCTCACCTTCTTTTAGCCCAATAAACACGCACATCCCTCCTCACACACATGTCCCCACTCATCCTCGCCCATGGTTGTAATGCACACACTGCCGCCACACTCACACATCTAGTTCGCGTCACCGGTAACACAGGGACCTGCACGCTTACACACATGTCCAACACACTCATGCATGCATCCCCTCACGTGCGCACACACTCAGCTGATACACACACGCACACACACACACACACGCACACACACTGTTTGGGCCGCACACTTACCCCCGCAGCAGGAGGGATGTCATACACCCCTTGAGGTTTCATGTCTCCCATTGGAACTGAGAACACGGGGCCTTTCACGGCTGAGGGTGGGATGTCATAGACCTAAGGAGAAGAAGCGCTTGGGTTACTTGGGATGGAGATGGCTCACGCTGCTCAGGTGGGAGGCTGCTAAGGGCTTTTACTTTTTTGCGTGTCAGGGTCTGTAAAGGTTTAATCTTTGGCAGTAGCCCGTGCACAGTTTTTCAAGTTTGGACGCTCTGACTTAGCTTGGATCAAAGTGGTCTTAATAGCAGTAGCTACACTGCCGCTATTTGAGTCCCACTGACATTTTACACTCGCTGGAATAAAATGGCTGAAATGACAAAGCGACAAGAGCCTTCTCAGAGGCAGGGCTGAGATTTCCTGATCAAGCAAGTCCAGGAAGCACAGTTGGAACAACGCTAGTGAACGTGGCTCCAGGAGAGACAGTGTCCTGGGAAATGTGGATCCTCTGTGAACGTCTGCAGCCTCCAGGGCTGCTCCTGTACGTACCCCTTGAGTGCTGTGCGAAGGAGGGATGTCATAGACGTCCTTTTGGTATCGGGGTGGGTACTGGTACACGTAGCCCTGGCCAGTCCTCACCGGGGTTACCACCTGTCGACAAGAACAACACAGGTGTCAAAGGCCTTTGTCCCCAGCCAGTCTCCTGGCTTCCCAGTCAGGCACATCTCTCCCGCTTAAGATGAAGAGAGTCAAGGAAGGGAGGGAGGGAGGAAAGACCAGGAATCACCTGATGAGGGTTAAAACTTTCCAAACTAACTGCTAGCTACCTCTGTCAGCATTCCTCATGGTAGCAGCGTCATCTCAAAGTTTTAATTCCCATAACAGATGTGAACAATGTAAGGGAAATTCATCCTTAAATCATGAAAGCCCTAGCTGATCCATCTAGAAGCACATGGAAATTATACACATATATATATGGTATATACATTGTGCATGCATAATATACATATTATACACATATATAAAGCCAGTTGAAACACACACATACATTAATATGTATTATCCATACATAAATATGCACACACAGCCTCCCACTTCAAAATATACTTCTTATTTATTTAACTTGTTTTGAGAGAGACAGGGACCGATCCCCTAGCAGACAACTGGGGAAATGTGTGCAGTGGTTCATTCTTGAGAAGCAATAGTCAGAGAGAGACCAGGCTAAGCCCAGGAGCAGAGAGCTCCATACAGACGTCCCACGTAGGTGGGAGAAACCCAAGTGCTTGGACCCCCACTGCCACCTCTCAGGGAGCACAGCAGCAGGGAGCTGGAATCAGAAGTGGTGTTAGGACTCAAACCCGGGCTGTCTGCTGTGGGCAATGGAGCCTTAACTGGGGTGCCAAATGCCTGGCCCTGAAATCTGCTTTGTAATAAAGGCTCTGAAATTATCTGTAAACAATGCAAAGAGAATTCTGCCTCTTAGAATTCTTCTCATACTTTCCTGAGTATGCCTCTTCATCTGCCATGATTATTAGGATTATAACAACAATTCCACGGGTCAGGAGAGTACTTTTACAGAGTCAAAGCTCAAATAGGGTGCTGTCTACGGAAGCTTTCAGCGACTTTCCATCTAGCTTACGGAACAAAAGATAGATGGTTCACTGATACCTGTGGAAGACTGTTTCCAGGAAGTCTAGCAGGTACCCAAACCTGAAGATGCTTAAGTTGTTGATATACAACAGGGTGACATTTGCAAGTAACTTCACACACATTCTCAACACACTGAGTCACGTGTAGATTACTTGTGATACCCAATAGGAGGTAAATGCTCTGTAAATCTTGTGAGATTGTACTGTACATTTAAGGGATAATGACAAGAAAAGAGTTTGACCATGTTTAGCACAGATGCAATATTCTTCTTGAACATCCAGTGATCAGTTGCAACTGCAGATGTGAAATCTGGAGATAAAGTGAGCTGTTGCTCGCAGGTAGCCAGGTATTTTCCCATTTCCAGTAGGTAGCAGACTCCACTCTGGCAACCAGAACTGATGCTGATGACGTGAATACCCCCAGACAGGCTCCTGTTTTCTTTCTATTTTTAAAGAGTGTTATTTATTTGAAAGACAGGATAGGGAGAGAGTGGTAAAGGCAGACAGAGAGAGAGAGAGAAAAAAAAATTTACCTGCTGGTTCACTCTCCAAATGGCTGCCATGGCTGGGGCTGGGCCAGGCTGAAGCTAGGAGTCCAAGACTCCATTTGGGTCTCCCACATGGGTGGCAGGGGCCCAAGCATTTGGGGCATCCTGTACTGCAATCACAGGTGCCTGGGCAGGGAGCTGGATTGGAAGTGCAGCAGGGATGCGTACTGACACTCCAGTTTGGGATTCTGATATATCAGGTGGTGACTTCACTCACTGTGCCACCATGCAGGTCCCTCTCTACATATCATTCTCACTAATTACAGCAGATCACTTAATCCTCAGAGGGCTTCTAAATTGCCAGGACCTTATTTCTACTGTATCCCGCTGTCTCGTCCCTTCAAATCACTAATAGCACCACTTCAAACGATGCCCACAACAGTTTTTTTCAGAACAGACATTGCAAATCAGGAACAGTTGGTTGTTCCCCAGAGAACTGTCATCTTTTCCCCATTCTCTCCTATGAAAACTGTGGCGTTAGGCTGCCTGCCAAACTATGTGAAAAAACGCTCCAAGTCGTCTGATGCTGAAAGGGCTGCGACTCAGCTGGATGCACCAAAGCTGTTTCCCCTGGGGGACCTAGGACCCCAGTTCAGTGTGGCTTGCAATCCTCTGTGTGTGTATCACTGGTTAGTTCTGACAGTGAGAGTAAAAGAAATGAGATTAGTATGCAGCCAGCATTGCCAGTAAGTCTCTCCACCATCTCTAAAAGAGCTTAGGCTTGCAGCAATGTTGGCCCAGAGGGCACAGCAGTTTCTAGAGCAGTCCCTTTGTAAAGCAGGATGGCCTTTGCTGAAGAAAAATACACTGTGTTTTTTTCTTTTTGTACTTATTGTCTGGGAGAGCAATGAAGATCTTCTACCAGTCTATCTGATCAGCGCTTCTATTTATAGCTCTGGTTTGGCTTTACAATAGAACCTGCTCACAGTGTGGCTTTTGTCGTCTCTAAGTTTCTAAGAGTGGATTCCATTCATGGGTGCCAACTTAGGAACAATGCTAAGGCCGGTTATGCTGAAGTCCTGCTGAACTGCTTTTTTTTTTTTTTTCATTTGAAAAGAGGGAGAGGGCAGGGAAGAAGGGGGCTGGTGTCAGGGTCTGAAGGTGGCATCAGGTGGGAGGTTAACGCAGGCACAGCCTCCGATGGCGGGGCATGGGGCATGGGGGTGGGAAGGCAAGCGCCTCCTTGCCTTCATAGCTTGGTGCTGGCAGAGGGCACTCCTGCTTCCCGGTATTTAACATTTCACTTCCTGACAAATGTCACAGAGGCCCAGCTTGCTCTTTCTTTCTCATTCAGTGGATGCCTGTGGTCATCTGGTTTTTACAAACTTTGCATTCCAAACCAGTCATTTTCCTTGTTTATGCATTCAAAGAAACAGATGGTGAAAAACCACAAGAGGGGAAAAAGCCAGCAAAATGCAACCTTCCCCAATTCCAGCATTCCCGATTTTACATTCCACCAGTGGTATTTCTAAGGGACCAACTTCTTGCATCTGGACAGATGGGTCCATGACACGCGGAGCTCTGCACTGTGGCCTCCAAGCCATCGGGCGAGCTGGAAAACTTTCTGCTTCTGGAATGCTCTGCCTCAACCCAATGCCTGGGTCATTTTCATGCCAACTGTATGTTCTTTCCTCAGAGGAAAATGCTGACTGAACTGTACCTTGCAAGTTTCCCGTTCTGTGGTTCATGGAGTCTTTCTAGTCCTGTTCGTCACAAGGATACAAAAACAAGTCCACCGCACAGCATGAGCGCTTCCCAGCCAAAGAGGTGCACAGGGGCTGCTTTGGGGAGATCATGTTGCAAATATTCTCCTGGGCCTTTGCAGAACTGGCTATACCAAGGGCATTTTGAAACTCGTTTTCTCAATGAAATTGAGTCAGTATTTTTAAAAATTTCCTTTCCCCTCCATTTATCTTTCTTCTTTTCTACATTACTTTCATTCAAAGTATTTATCTACAGTTGCAAGGGCTTTGGCTTTGGAATCACCAAACTGTCCTCTTTCTTCTCTAGCACTGCTGTGGGGGCAGCTGCATGGTGGAGCTGCCTGGGGACCTGTGACCAAGGCTGTTGCATATTTTCCCTGACTGTCCTGGAGCAGGAGTAGTAGCTGCCAGCTGCAGGGGTGGATTTTCAGTCTGGTGAGAAATCCAACTGTAATCACTATGACATTGTCATCAATCAATGGGAAAGTCCCAGACTGTGTATTTGGGAAGGGAAGACTGGAAGTCTTCAAGCCTAGGACCTGGCAAGGTATGATCAATATTTCCAAGACTGGGGCTTCTCTCATGGATCTGTAGGAAAACTAGACCTACGTCTCATATCAGCCCTGGCTGATCCACTTCTGAGCCAGCTTCCTGCTAACATGCTGTGGAGGCAGCAGCTGATGGCCCCCGAACTCCACTCATATGGAAGCCTGAGGTGAAGTTTTGGCTCCTGGCTATTTCAGGTATTTGGGGGAGTGAACCAGCAGAGAGAAGGTCTCTATTCTTTGTCACCATGACTTTTGAATAAACAACTAAACTTAGAAAACAATAAAACCAACTTTAATGGAGTTTACTTTACATGTCATGGACCTCAGGTCCTGGCAGCATGAAACATGCTTCAGACACAGGCAGTCCTTTACAGAGTCAATCAAAGGTGGGTTGAAAATATTTGGGAAAAATTCTGCATCTGTATTGAACACGTGCAAACTTCTTGTCATTATTTCCCAGACAACACAGTACACTAACTATCTACACTGAATGCACATTGCGTCCAGTGTTGTAAGTAATGTGAAGTTCACAGGAAGTTCATATAGGTTCTATGCAAATCCTGTGCCACTTTACACAGCAGCCTTGCCTATTTGAGGATTTAGCATCCACGGGAGGTCCTGGAACCTGTTTCCTGGGGTCCCCAGCGTAGCTGTCTTGGCATGTCTCATAGATTTCTGAGTATGGTCTGCTGAAATCAGAAAGGAGGGAGTCTGTGTTTGGGAGGTGGAGAGGTCTGGGGAATGCAGAGAACCAACACATGGGAGAGTCGGGGGTCAGAAGAGAGACCCTTGGGGTTTGTGCTATACTTTAGCTATCACACATTTCAAAGCTGTTGGCTTTTATAATGTTTTGTGATTTAACTATGAGAGAAACATTTAATTCTTAAGTTTAAGTCTGTTCAAAGTGAGCTCCAAGCAGGGATTTTGGATCAAAGTCATAATTGACAAGAGACTTTGGTCTTTGATAAGCATCGGTAGATTTACTTGGGTTATTATTTTATAGTGGTCATCCAAGCACTGCCATGATTATAGTTATCACCCAATAGTTTCAGACACTGCAGTGGAAACCCCCAGGGGATGGTGTGCTTTTATGAGGCTTACAGATAAAGATATTGACTCAAGGCAAGATGGTGAGGCCCCCATCTGGGGGCATTTTATTGCAGTTCTCAGATCAGCAGGTCGCGCCTTTTCAGTCAAAGACCA